TGACTAAACCATCGCAGGTTGGCTGTTTTGTTGGGTTCAAAAAGCAGGTACAGGTCATTCTTGGCCATCTGTTGGTCATAAATCTCGAATCTCATTGCCGCACTTGCCCCGGGTGCAGAGTGTTTGGGGACGAAGGCTTCCTTCTGTCTCGTGAAAACATTGCCCTAAGACCTAAACTTAAAACTGCCAGCACAAGGCCCCAGCCTTATAGAAAGTCACGAGTTGGCAACTAAATTTTTGCGGCTCGGGGCGACCGGACCACTATGGCTGGCGGCATCAGTCCAAAAAAACAAAAAAGTGGCAGTTTGTAAGAGCTTGGCACGCAGTGCAGCGCCTCGGCACCTCTCAGAATAACACTTCCAGTTTTTCATCCCCCATATCTTCAAAGAAAAACTTCTGGGATGATGACAAGGAAAAATCGTTTGTAAACATATCTCTCGGAAATGGTTTTGTTAATATGGTGTGCACTCTATGGAATGATGCAATTTTTGGTTGAAAAGGCCTTCTGTTTTTCTTATAAATAACATTAAAAAAACGCTGAAATTTTGCCTCTCCGAAATTAAGCCAAAATTCTTTAGGAAACGAGTCGAGGGCCGGTGTCTTTTCATCCCCCATATCTTGCAGTGCTTGGAGGAGGTCGAGTTAGTGGCTCACCTAGTAGCTCCCTTTGCTATGTGAATAACAGAGCAGGCAAGGCATTGGGCAGCGCGCCCCTCGCCTCTCCCAAAGCCTGCAGCTGCCTTTGGCTGGTTTCAAAGGTGAACAAATGGTTATACTACATGGAGGCATATTGAACATTTTGATAAACATTCTTGGTCACAGGCTGTGACCCATCAAAGGGGTGTTTGAGGGAGGGCACGGTGTTTTGCCTGCTCCTTGCTTTGGCCAGCCCCTCGCTTTGGCCTTGTTAAAGAAAGTTTAGGTCATCATCCCTTCTGAGGCGTCCTTGGCTACTCTTGCTTGGTTCCTCCAGTTTTGGGCTTGAGTGTCTAAGTGGTCCTGCAATTGGGCCCGTTCCCTTTGAAGAGCCTGAAAAGTGGGCTGTTCCAAAGGGTTGCTTGAAAGTGTCAGTCCCATTCTTCTAGTTGAAAGGGCAGGTTGTCAATTGTTATCTTTCGGTCACGCACAAGCTTGATGGAGAGTTTTTTATTTCTCTATCAAAGTCTCGTCACTCCTTCATTAAACCATTGCACCAATGACCCTTCTTGAGGTCTGGCGGCGGACCAATATGCCCAAAATTCCCTGGCTTGTTTGCTCAGGGCGGGATGCTGCAAGAGGGATGTGGTGAATTTAAAGAATCTCGGTCTCCTGGTCACATGAGCATGGAAGGAGTGGCTCATGGCTATCATGCGGTGGTCAAAAGACTCGCAGGGGGAGAAGAGGAGGATGTCTGCCATCGTAAGCAACCCTGCAATATCCTCAGAGATGAGGCCTATATCTATGCGTGAGTTGGATATACATGCCTGTCCACTTGACCTAACACATGTATATGCTTTTTTGTTCGGGCGGAACTCTCTATATGTATCAACGAGGTGCAGTCTCGTCATCATTTGCCTCAGTGCCACGCTGTCAGGACCCTGTTGTCTCGGGGCCCCTTGAGCCGAGGCTGATTGAGAGGTCGTCCGCCTGTCAATATTGGGATCTGGTGTTGTGTTGAAGTCCCCCATGATGATGATTGGGGTGTCTTGAGGTAACACGTTGTGCAGGTTATTAAAGAAGAGGACGGTCACCCTGTTCACTTGTTCGTTGGGTGCATAGACTCATACCAAGATACAAATACAGATACAAAATAATCAGGTGATCGTGGACGTTACATATCACAGCATGAATCACCCAACACCACCGGAAAAAAGTACGCCGGTGCTCGACCCTTCTGTCCTGCTGCTCAGGCCAAGAGGAGAAAAAAATCCCAGTAAAACCACTAATATCCAACTACAGTCGGCTCCCATGCAAAACCACAAATCAAAAAAAAAAAAAAAAAAAAAAAAGAGGACCAGCGGGGTAAAGCCCGCTTTCGCATCTACCAACCTCTTCCTTGGTGCCAATTCCAAGGCCCTCCCTTTCTTTTTTCATCCCGGCCCGCTGGCTTACTACTACCGGGTGCTATCCTGCTTCAGTGCACAGTTACTCCAACCCCTCCCACCTCCTGATTTGCTTCTTCACCCCCCCACCACCCCCAGTTTCAAAAATTCCGAAGCCAACTCCCACCCAAAAGCAGTATTCTTCCGCCTGACCATTTTCCTTACCCCTGCTTCAAAAGTTTCTCTGGGGTAACCAATCACTCTCAGTTCCTTCTGAAAAGTCACAAGGCTCCACCACAGCGAAAGCTTCGTATTCGTATTGTCTACTATCCGACAAATGCAATTCGAGACAATCCCATACTTTTGGATTAGAGGAGCAAAGGAGTCAAAACTCCTCAGAGTCTTATAGTGCCCCACCTCTCCTTCCCAGATAGTGTCCAGATTTTTAAATTTGTGGAAGCTATAGATCCATGCAGGTGTCGCTGTGGCAACCAGCCTTGTCTCCAAGAACTCAGCCATCTGGTTCCCATTGTCAGTCCGTTTCAACGGAAGATCCTTATGGTAACAATCCTCAATCTTGTCCATCGTCCGATTCAATCTCTCCGCCCCATTTTTTTCTTTTTGAATCATACCGGCCTACTAAAAGCAGATCATCAATGAACCGGCTCCCATCAATATATCTAGCATCCGTAGCCAGAGACGTAACAAACTGTTGTTCCGCAAAGATACAAAGGACATTGGCTAGTGGGGAGCTCGCCCTGCCCCCCATAGGAATCCCAATGGTTTGCCTCAACATCTGCTCCTTCGAGAAGAAGAAAAAAGTGTTGGCGAGTTGGAACTTTGCGAGGATAATAAGGTCAGTTAGTCTCAAAGATTTCCAACCCTCTTCTCCATGCGACTTCCCGAATGTCGCCTTCTTCCCTCTACTCTTCAACCTGATCCAGTGTTGTCCCTTGTCCCGAAAAAACTCCAATATCCATTCCACAACTTTGTTGATCTCCTTGTGAGGCAACCTGGTGAACATCTCCATAACATCATACGTTCTCATCAGAAATCTGCAGTCCAATCCCCACTCCTGATTCGCTAATTCATTCACTTTCCCTAGTTTCTCCTGCAGATGCTTAGCACCAGTAATGTTAAAATGCCTCACCCTCAACCTTTTTATGAGAAAGTTCAAACTCTGTGCAAGGTACCCCATTGCCGTACGAGTGGGGCTCAAGAAAGAAGGCACGATAGGTCTCTTCTTCTGCAGGTCCTTATCTTTCGACAGTGTGTAGGCATGCTGCAACCTCCCTTTATTGTCCCATTTTGTCACTCTTCCCAGGTTCAGAGTCCGAAACTGTAGTTTCATCGCCACTATAACATCATCTTCAGATTTTGCAATCCTCTCATAATTCTCATTTTCATTGTACATCGTCATTCCTTCTTCATAGAGAACTGGACATTCCAACAGAGTTGCTCCAGGGTTCCGGTCCAAGGGAGAGAGAACTAGGCCCGCGAAAGATTCTTTCAACCCCATCACATACTCTGTGTCACATCCTACATGACGTAAATCACACTTCACACAAATTTCCTTCCAGTCCACCTGCATTCTTCCAGCGTGCCCCCCAAGCACTCTCATTCTCTTCAATGGTTCCAAGGCATCATTGCAAGCCGTATTCACCTCTCTCCAGGTGAGAAGGCTTCCAGGATGCGGTACATTCTTTGCGTTTTTGACAAAGTCCCGAATTCCCTCAATGTTCTCTAATCTGACCCGAACATGCCCGTTATGTCGAGGCAAGTCAAAACCTTTGCAAGCGCAGGTCTGACCACTTCTTATTGCAAAGCGCTGGTGATTATGCAGTAGATCGTCGACAATTTTTTTCTTTTGTCAGACGGTTCTCATCCTGCCAATCAACAGGTTAGATAGACACATTGGCGAAATTCTCTCCCTCATCCATTCCTTGGCAACCGCATGCACTTTCTTCTTGCTCACTGAATCACAAAAGGGAAGTTTGATTGTAATCCTATGCCTGGGATTCACGCCAAACACCTTTTATATAATTCTCGTGATAATCCCCCTTGTAATCTGCCTCCCCCTCGTGGTATTTAACAGTTTCACACCCATGTTCAGGTTTACTAGTTCTTCCAACTTCTTTTTGTACAAAGCTTTCCTTTTCCAGGGAGCTCTGAGAATTGTTACTTCTTCCGCTTTCGTAATTTCCGCTTTGCTCTTAGTTTTTCGCAGGTCCGTAACCAGCCATTCCCCCCCTTGTTGGATGAGATGCTTCGCATCCTTTAGCAGGCAAGTTTGCCCAAGTATCTCCACCTTACTAAAACCATACAAAAGCCTCACTAATCCCCACGCCTTCAACCAGAGCTCCCCCTTCCTGTTTGCAATTCGCAATTTCCTATTGTTACTTCCAAATTTCAAAATCTTCAGGAGGTCAGGCTCAGATTTCACCCCAAGCTGCTCACAGTCAAACAACAAAGCATTTTTACAGAGAAAACTACCGCTTCCACCTTTTTTCTGCTTCCTAGGCTTTCTCCTTGAGGGTTTGTTATTTGTCCTCCTCATGTTTATTCCCGGGTTCATATTATTAATTGCAAACTTTTTCATACTCGCGACTGAATTCTTTGCCCCAAACCAAAGTGGCAGAGCCACATAATTGTTGTTGTCGACCTTGCTCATCCATCTGTGTACCTTCTGTTTCGATCCCCCAATCGTGGAACGGACATGTTCAGACCATCTGGTTTTCAGATCTCTTTCCGTCTTCCCTATGTAGGTGAGTTTATAGGAAGGGGAGATCAAGAGGTATACACAGTCATTCCCATTCAGCAAACGCGACCAATCACATGGTTCCAAGCTCAACCAATATCTGACGAATGGCCTGCCCCATCTCGACTCTCCTTTCAGACACAGCATTATGACAAGCAGTTTCAGCAGGACACCAATCGCCTGCCTGACCGCGCCGCTTGGATGGTTGGCCCATCCAGTCAGTCTCTTGTAAGCTCTCAACAGAGACCGTTTGCTCATGTCACTCAGTTTCCCGCTATGTCGTCTTGCTGGGTTTCTTCTTCAGAACAGGAGTTACTCTCGGAATTCTCTACCTCTTCTTCACTCTTCCTTTCTTCACTCTCTTCGTCCTTCTCATCCGGAGCATCCAACTTCAGTAGCACCTCGAAGTCCAATCTAGCCAACTCCCATACCCCGGCCTCCTTCCGTTTGTATGGAATGCCCTTCTTCTTACACAGCTCCTGCACCTCCGTATAGTGCATAGCATCGTAGTAGATGATCCGGTCCTTGAAATATAATCCCAGCGAGCCTTCTTCCTTATCCTTCCTCTTTTCATTGGTTCCCAATTTTTCGTCAGAGTCCACTTTCTTCCCATTCTGTTCACCCTGCCCTCTTCCTACTACTGCGTTCCCCACTTCCGGCTCTCCACCCGTATTACTGCTACTAGCATCCCGTCCTTTTGCTGCCAATAATTCCTTTATCAAGTCCCTCAGTTCGGATACCTCCTTATTCCTTGACATTGACCCCTCCATTGTTCTACTTAAATTCTGCACGACATCATCCTTCTCTTTGCCATCCTCGTCTGAGGAGACCTCCACTGACTTCGTACTCTTGCCCCTCCCCCCTTTTTTCAAAAGACATGAGCGGGATCTCACCTTCCCTTTCCCAGGTTTCGCAGGGGACATAGTATCCCTCTTCCTTTTTTCTGAGCTCGAGTTTTCCCTCAGTTCCCTCAGCTCCTTCTCGACCCTCAGTAGTTTCAGTTCCTCTAGTTCAGCCTCCTTCAATTTAGAATTCCTCTCGACTTCCTCCATTTTTTCTGACAACATCCTCAAAGATCCCCCAAAATTCGAAGCCACCCATTTTTTCATCTCGTCCTCCTTTGCATTATCCATTACTTTCCCTTTTCCTTTGTCCTTCCCGACATGCTTCTTGCTCTTCCCTCTATTCTCAACCTTGGCTTTTTCCGACTCAGATTCTCTTTCTCTCCATTTTTCTTTTTCCCCGGGTTTCTCAATCTCCCAGCCAAACCCTCTCAATCTCATAATATCCTCCCGATCTTTCTTTCGCGCCTCCTCCACCGCATCCTTTAGCTTCAATTTCTCTATGAAATCTGCATGTTCACGAGTAAAGAAAGCACGGGACTGGAAGCTACCATTACCTCTCCCGTAGTCGGCATTATACTGTCCACCCCCTTGCGTTGGCGCAGCACTGGGTCCTGTATACGTCCATGGCCCTTGCACTGGAGCGGGCGCCACGCTCTGTCCTATTGGAGCAAACGCGAAAGGAGGTGCAACAGCAGGGAAAGGTTGCTGGTAGAAACCACCATGAGGATTGAACAGAGGAAAAGTTGGAGCCGCTGTTGTTTGGAAAGGAGGCGCAGGCGGTTGAACTTGAGGAGGTGGTTGTGGGACAGAGTTCTCCATCCAGTACCTCTCACAGTTCGACCACCTGCCCCTCCCCCTCCCCCTACCCTACGCACGCATACAGCTAATTCCTCCAAACGTAGCTGCGCACACGCACCCAAGTTAACAACACTCGACCTCAGCCCAAACCCAGATAGCCAGCTGACGTGGATAGGTACTCACAACCAGAACGCGCATACGTATGAGACACAATCCACTCCACAATATCAATAATTAAGCACCCCCGAACCCATTCGAAGACCCCAAAGCACAAAGCAAAGATTCGAATCCCCGCCCGGACCACCGCCGGGAGAAAAAGTCACCACGTCGGCGTATCACCAATTGCCACTCATACCTGGCAAGTAGTTCCCACGTACCGTTTATTGATAGGCGAAAGCCCTTAACTCAATCTCCCGCCCCTGCATTCCGACCTTCTCCGATATCCAGCATTAACACAACCGCTGCGACGTGGGAACGTGCGGCCCGTCAATCGCTATCAGCTGACGTGGATAGGTACTCGCAGTTGAGCCACGCATGCGTAAGAGGAGACACGAACCACTCTACACGATCAATTTAAGCACCACCAAATATTAGTAGGCGAAAACCCCCCTACCCTCGATCCCATGCCTCCACATACTCGGACCTCCTTACCGATATCCAGCACCCACCCAACCGCTACGACGTGGGAAAACATCACGAAGGAACGTGACGGCCCGACAATCGCTACCAACCGTAATGCCACTGGAAGCTTCGAAGGAGACGCCTAGTACACTCCACCAACGCCACGTAGGCAACCTTGGATTCACCAGCGCCGCAGCGCTCCCTGATCTGGTGCGCACAAACGCGTGTCACCCCCGCGTCGCAAGCGCAGATCCCAGGAATGAAAACACAAGGTAGGCGAAGGTGATGGCAGACCAAGTATGAGCTGATAGATGCGAAAGAGTTTGCTTACCCGCGCTGATGCGAAGAAGCAAAATAAGACAAAAAACAAAAAACAAAAAACACAAGGAACACCATGAAGAAGATGCTCACCAATGCCCGAAGGCAATGATGGCGCTGCTAGATCGTCACCCAAGCTGACTGCAAGGTCAATCTTACAACTCCTTTGTACAAATACAAAATAATCAGGTGATCCTGCACGTTACATATCACAGCATGAATCACCCAACACCACCGGAAAAAAGTACGCCGGTGCTCAACCCTTCTGTCCTGCTGCTCAGGCCAAGAGGAGAAAAAACTCCCAGTAAAACCACTTATATCCAACTACAGTCGGCTCCCAGACAAAACCACAAATCCAAAAAAAGAAAAAAGAAAAAAGGAAAGAAATAAAGAAAAGAAAAGAGGACCAGCGGGGTAAAGGCCGCTTTCGCATCTACCAGCCTCTTCCTTGGTGCCAATTCCAAGGCCCTCCCTTTCTTTTTTCATCCCGGCCCGCCGGCTTACTACTACTGGGTGCTATCCTGCTTYAGTGCACAGTTACTCCAACCCCTCCCACCTCCTGATTTGCTTCTTCACCCCCCCACCACCCCCAGTTTCAAAAATTCCGAAGCCAACTCCCACCCAAAAGCAGTATTCTTCCGCCTGRCCATTTTCCTTACCCCTGCTTCAAAAGTTTCTCTGGGGTAACCAATCACTCTCAGTTCCTTCTGCAAAGTCACAAGGCTCCACCACAACGAAAGCTTCGTATTCGTATTGTCTACTATCCGACAAATGCAATTCGAGACAATCCCATTCTTCTGGATTAGAGGAGCAAAGGAGTCAAAACTCCTCAGAGTCAAAACCCATACCAAGCAATTCTCTTTTGTGCCAATCGCTGCTCAGAGCCACACCCACCTGCCTTCCACATGGTCCCATTCTGCATGCGGCCGATTTGGCTGGGGTTGTTCGGCCAGATGTGTGCAGCCCTTTCTTGGTGGGCAGCCGAGTTGGTAAGGTGGGTTTCCTGCACAACAATCTCATCTGGCCACTTACCTCGTATATCTCTTGTGATGAGGTTCCAAAGTGGTGCTGCTTTTTTTTTTTTTTTTTTTTTTAAGTCCAGGGTGTTGTAGAGGCCAGTTACTAGGCACACATTGATCGCCGGAAGCGGTCAGCCGTGGTCGCTCTGAGGCAAGGCCACCACCCATCCCTTAATCGTGTCAATAGTCCTAGCGCATCCCCTATCCCTACTATCCTACTTCAGTGTGACCAGCACTCAGGACCATCACCCTACATATCGACGGGAACTTGGACCGAACAGTAGTGACAGGCACCAGGGCTAGCTACCCAGCCCTGGTTGAAGCATAGTCGAACGAGCCTCGCCGTACGGGTACTTCGGACGCGAGGCTCAAGCAATCACCTATTGGACCCATTTTGACCAACTAGTAACTCACGCCCTCTACTCTCCCACCATAGGCCTAGCTGTATATTTAATGCGGGGTACTTATCATAGAGACGCCTATCATCATCACCAGTTGGAGCCGACTAAGCCAACCAGTGACTCACGCCCTCTACTCTCCCACCACAGACCCTAGTTTTATATTTAAGGCAGGGTACTTATCATCGAGACGCCTATCATCATTATCAGTTGATTGTGACCTCCACCCAGCCCTTGTGTATGTGTGTGTGTGTGTGTGTGAGCCCCCTAAGTTGACCAAYTAGTAACTCACGCCCTCTACTCTCCCACCACAGACCTAGCTGTATATTTAATGCGGGGTACTTATCATCGAGACGCCTATCATCATCACCAGTCAGAACCCAGCAGACCAACCAGTGACTCATGCCCTCTACTCTCCCACCACAGACCCTCGCTGTATTTTTAAGGCGGGGTACTTTTTTTTTTTTTTTGAAACTTCGTATGCAGGAAACCTACTTATTGAGGTGATAGGAGCATCCCCACTAAGTAGTTCCCGACGTCGAAGGATCCATCTATTGGTGGGGAGCTACACCTGCTGGAAATCGGGTCCAGCGTCCCTGTACAATGATGAGAGTGTATCTGCTGGAAATCGGGTCCAGCGTCCCTGTACAAAGATGTGAAAGTGTCTGCTGGAAATCAGGTCCAGCATCTCTTTGATCCTATGCANAGTGTATCTGCTGGAAATCGGGTCCAGCGTCCCTGTACAAAGATGTGAAAGTGTCTGCTGGAAATCAGGTCCAGCATCTCTTTGATCCTATGCATTTGATCCACAGTATCACTGTGTATGTAAAACAATCCACAATGTGATGTAGGTGTAATGTAAGTGTGTTGTATGTGTGACGTGGTGTATGTGATGGATGTGTTCTATATCAATCAATCATTTAAACACAAAACCCTATGTACAGAGATGTGAATGCGTCTGCTGGAAATCGGGTCCAGCAAACCTATAACCCTATGCATCTGATCCACTGTATCTCTGTAAATGTACAGCCACCCATGAAACCCTAACCGAGATGTAATGTATGTGTGCGGGGCAATCAGCACTTCCATGTTGATTGATATTGTGGGCCGGACAACACCAAACAACAACGACTATCCCACTCCCACCAACGACTATCCCACTCCTAACTTCAGCCAACCAACGAGGTTGAAAGGGGGGAAGGGGGGGGAGCTGGCAAACCTGTTATCCGTGTCAAGCCCACTCCCCTCCACATCAGCATGCAACATCTCTCCCGTCATGCTGATGCTCTTTGCCCCGCTGCTGCCGAGGTCGTCGCTGGCGCCGTAATCATCGCTGCCTCCATCGTCGTCGCTGCCGCCATCACCGCTGTTGTTGTTGTTGTCGACGTTGTTATTGTTGTTGTTGTTGTTGTTACTGTTGTCATGGTGATCCTTGCCGCCATAGTCGTCGTTTGCCGCCCTCGCCATTGTTGTTGTCAGCCCCGAATTCCACCGCATCCACGTGCAGCATCTCTCCCATCTTGCTGACGATGATCAGATATGCCCGGGCACCGTTCCCCACCCCGCTGCTGCCATGTTCATCACTTCCGTTGTAGGTGTTGTTGTTGACGTTTTTGTTGTTCATGATGATGTTGTCATCATTGTTGTTGTCGCTGTAACCGTTGTTGTTGATGTTGTTGTTGTTGTTGTCGTTGTTGTTGTTGATGTTATCGTTGTTGTTGATGTTGTTGTTGTTGTTGTTGATGCTGACGCTGGAGTTAACCTCGTCTTCCTGCGCTCCATCCTCCTGCCAGTCCTCACCATCCAGGTCGTCTTCGCCCTTCAACCGGTCTTCAAGCTTATAGTGCAGGTTCCGACCCTCAGCGAAGAGTGCATAGCAGGTAGACATCATGGCCTCTGCCCTCTTCCAATCGATGCAGGCTTCCAGCTGGGGATCCGGCCCCTCCTCCAGCCCCCAGATGATATCCAGCATGTCGTCGGCCATATTCTTCAACCAAACAGCCAGAGAGATTGCTCCCCCTTCGTCTTCTAGCTCCTCATTCGACCACGAAGACAGCTCCCCCACCATCACCTGTAACCGCCTGCATCCTTGCTCCAATGTCACCAGCCAATCATCTGTTCGTCGTTGTAGCTCCCCCCCCACCTCCATCTCTAACCCTGATAGCTGGGCTCCTCTTGCGTTTCCACGTCGACCTCACTGCTGGCGCTACCCCTGCGTGCGCGTCATGGGACGGCCACGTCACCAACAACAGACGCCACATGGCAAAGGCAAGCGACGCACGACTGTCGGGCGCGCGCACAGGCCTAGCAGCCGAGGAGCTTCCCTCCCCGGGCGCTAGTCTAGCCAGGGAGACCGGGCCTCGCCGGTCCGCCGGCGTCAGGGCGCTTGCGCTAGCGTACTATCAGCCTCCCTCCGTGTTTTCCCCTTGCCCCGCGGCGGGGTACTTATCATCGAGACGCTTATCATCATTATCAGTTGATCGTAACCTCCTCCCAACCCTATGGTTGTGTATGCGTGAATGTACTTTGTATCATAGATGTGTGCCCGTGGGCTATATGTATGGTTTTGTATGCTGCTCTCCACCATGGAGCATCTGCGAAGTGAGTCCTAAGTACTGGTGAGAGGTGCTCTTATCACCTCCACTAGTACATGTATGTGTGTGTGTACCTTGAGCTATATATATATATATATATATATATATATATATATATATATCGTCACAAACAGAACTGCCCGGTAAAATCGTAGGCAGAGAGAGAGAATATATATATATATATATATATATATATATCGTCAAATAGAATATATA